TCATAAACTAGAGTCTTAAAGTCTGAATTAAAATTCTTTGCAGAGAATAAAACAGAAAGAATGTAGAGCATTTAGCGCATATCTAACGTATTCGTATGGTTTTCTTTAACAACGCCTTTTGGTTTACATGAAGCTATTCGAGTAATATTTCAAATTCTTGGAAAAATAATTAAGCATCTCTCATATCATGTTCAAACTAATATAGATATATGAAACTAATCTGAAGTAAACCCACAGTAAACCCTTAGAACAAAACTAGAATTTACAATGAAACTTCAATGAACATAATGTCCCCTGACTATGCTATTGAAATTGACCTCGTAAGCACTTTCACTAATTCCAGGCTACTAGAATGCCTAGCTAGTAGCTATGTGTGTAAAAATATGTAATCACTAAAACGCGGAATACAAGATAGGCGATGTGGGCGTTTAAAAAGCACCCTAATGCGTGTTCAATAGTATTTTGAAAACAATCACGATTACATAAAACAGAGTAATTTGAAAGGAGGTAAATCAAATGGTCACGTTACTCAATCTTGAAGTCACTTTAGCACATCCTTTCGGGAAGTAATAAAGAACAATGATTGAAGTAACATGATGCATTTCACTGAGGAGTAGACTCTTGTGGGTGCTTTCCTGTATTTGCCTTTCTCACATCTAACATTTCAATGCGTCTGTGATTCTCATAAAATACATCATTGATTTATTTCGAGTTTCAAATAAAACTTTTTTTTGCCTTTGCATCTAAAGGTAAAATACATATCCAATGTCTATTCGCAATGTTGCTTGAGTACTTATTCCGTTCCTCCCCGAAGCTTGTAATTCAAGACCATTTTGGACCATTATAAAACTGAGATTTGGGAATCTTGTTATTAATTGAGGGAGTGCTGTTAGATTCTGTTTCTTGCCATGTGAATTATAATTTGGGATAGTTGGGTTTTGTTTTTCTTCTAACTGGAGTACTCCTAGATGTTTTTATTGCTGTGTTCTGTAACCGTTTTTGTACTGTCTCGTTGGTACTTGCGCATATACATATTTGTACGTTTGCACATAAAGTTCGTGGAATTTGGAAATATCATAAGATTGTTAAACAGGTTTCCGGAAACATTTGTCTGGGGAAAAAAACGAAAACATTCAAAACGAGCTCAATTTACACGGAAAGACACCCTTTGAACATACTTGAATCAGGGATCTGGATCTAATGTGTTATACAGTCTTAATCGAATTATACAGACTTGACTGACAGACTCAAAAAGCACATACCATCACCAATGTACAGCTCCCGTGATGCATACTGATTCCGCATTGCAGATCCTTCGAAAGATCAAATCCCGATCGCGAAGACAAGTCAACATGCCTTTTGCTCGTTATATGTGCGATGATACCTATTCAATCGCTAATTTGTGTTTAGGTTGTAATCACGGTCTAAAAAACGATATGTGAGGTTTTTAGTAAACTCGAGATTGTTGAAGATAAATATGAGGATCGTGTGGACATAAACGTAATTGATCATGAGCTGATATAAAAAGGGAAGAAATAAAATCTAAAGGTAAAGTTTAAGACTTGATCCGAGAAAGTTTATAGAGATTTATGGACTAAGCAAGATATCGTTTCATTTGTATGCTGTTGTCTATGACATCAACTTGAAGTTGAATTGCGCTTTTTCAATTTCTTCCTTTTCTTAAAAAGATTAGAACTACTGTAAATGACAACAATTGATCGAAATGGTTTAATCGCTCAAAATGGTTTAGAAATGATTTGGAAAGGTTGTATCAATTACAGAAAAATACTGAGCGTCTCTTATCTGATCCAGTTATTTCATAGAATGTACAACTTTTGATATTCCCTTATAAAATCGAATATCAAACTGTACGTTCTTTTTATAAACATTTATCATATACAACACAATATTGTCCACGCTCCCGAAGGAGTCATTAGTTGAAGGTAGAGTTAGAGACTACAAACAGCATTAACAAACGACCAACTGATGTCTTCTTTACAATAACATCCTAAATATCTCTAAATGATATGAGGCTATTGTTAATGAGAAGATTTGAAGTTCATATATAATTGTGTCTAGTCGTTTCAAGAAAGTAAATATGGATGTTTATATGATAGAAAAATGCATGAAAATTGTTCTTTTAGGAGAAAACATGTCGGTAAGACATTGGTACGACACTAACGACACGTCATTTAATCAGAAGAATTCACCAGAGAATATGCTTCAACTTGTTCATGGGCGTTTTCCATTAATATCGATAGATGGTACAATTGGTTTGGTTACAGATTACATGCTAATCTTGATCCAATTAATCTCAAATGCATACATCGATCAACAAGTCAATTATGAATCTCCGGGCATACAATAGGTAAATTGAGGATCTATCACCTCGTATTTACTTCTTTAGCATTATTTAGATTTTGTATGCATTTTAAACGCCGTTGTATAATGGGAAAAACCTCTTTGGTAGTTGTCAATCAAACAATTTTTGTGAAATACCTGTAAAATCTACCATTTGCATTCGTTGTACTTCGCTTCTTAAAAGAGAGCTTCGTCGTCTTGTTTATAACTAGACTCCGCGCACAGGGTAATAAAAATCCATATTCTAGTTGATTGAGGTCGAAATGATAGCCCAACCTGTATATAACTACATGTAACTATCTGACAGTGTCTTTCTCTAACGCCAAAAGAATTTCTCCAGATTGTAGTATATTTGTACTGATAACCTTTGCCGTTAACATTGTCTCATTTTGAACAATATTCTTGATGTTTACGTAATAACATGTATCGATACTTATACAGTATAATCATGTTTGCACGCTGATAATTTAAAGGTACTGAAATGTATATTATTCTAAAAGCTAAGCAAGTATATACGTATTTGTCAACTGTATTTGCCTTCTTGGACTAATTGTACATCATTGTATATCTGTGTTATTTCAAGCAAATTGACATTATAAACTAATTTATTCCACTCTTGAAATCGCATTTATATAGCTTTAAGCGTGTTACTTAAATCGAGAAAATCACGTCTGAAAAGTTTAAAGTAAACAGCAAATAAATTGCCAATGTTCAAGTTTGAACCGTTTCAAACAGTGTACGTTAAAATACAACATTTTTGTCGATACAATTTAACGAGGTGAAATCAACGATTTAGACAACAATCAACTTTGATTACCTCTGATTTTGATGTAGTATCAGATTATATTGCTTTCCGTATTTATCGACTTTCTCATTATATGAACTATCGCTTTGTAATGCATTTATTCTTCATATTTCTCGTGTTCTTTCAGATGTAAGGAACCTATTAAGACAAGCGAGATCAACACAGAGGAAGCCTAGATTGGACGCGATTGAATTATCGTCACCAATGCAGCCACTAATAGAAACTCAAAGCCATTGAACGATTCAGCGAAACACTAAAGGAATTCATTTACTTCGCGCAAAATATACCGAACGAATTATGATCACATATTGACTTACGTCCAAGTAAATACTGGAAAATGTATCAAAGGTGAAAAAAGGTTTTGAGAACTTATAGAAAGTAGTTCTATACGCTGGATACGTAATCATATGGTACATGCGCCGAAGGAATCATTCGGCTTATTCTTAAGTATGACATTGATGAAGTGACTTATAAAAATGTTGATATGACCGGGATTATTTATCATTAAACCCGTCTTGTAGGATATAATCTGGATTCAGAAATGACGTGGCAGAAAATATTAGTTTGAACAATAAACATATTTACACGATCTTGAACGAGCCATATAGAAATTAGGAACTTACGAAATGAAACATGGCACATGGACTGGCTTTTTAACCTGAATATCGTAAACAAGACAAGTTAATGCGATTTTTGAATAAGCATCATAAGGGAAGTAAATGTTAAAGCTTAACAATTTACTTATCTTAGTTACTGAGTAAAACATAGACTCACCATTGTGCGTCTTTAGATTTAAACTGACTTTAAACGTGTAGATTTATCTTCAATGTATGCGTATCAAATAAAAAAAGTGAAATATGTTTTCAACTGAGATGACAGTATAAAAAGAGATACAATCAAAAAAGCTTTCTGACTAGGACACGTCTCACTAGTTGATGACAATTTTGGGAGACATTATCGGAGTATTTATTAATTTGTTTAGACCGTTTCAATACTTTTAGTATCACCTTTATCTGCCTCACGATTTGGACATACTGGCGTACTGAAAGAGCTAAAAGGCCAGCAAAACACTACATTGGATTACTAGAAGGATGTATCCATATAAATAGCTTATATATCTATGACATTGATAGTTTGGAAGTCGTGAATATTATGCACTGGACCGGGGTTGCAGCAGCCCGACAGTAATATGAATGACTACATTGAACACCTTTCGAGGAAACGCAAGGTAAACTCACAATCAATCCCATAATTTATTGTGCTAGCTGTCGGATTAGCATCTGAGTCAAGGATATCAATCAGCCATCTCACCGGGGTCAAACAGAGAGAAAGGGTGCACGCCTAAGAAGCCCTGGCCTGAGTGCATCGCTTATTAAACTACCGTGTGAAAAAGTGCATCACTCTTGGAAAGGATAAATAAATCCGAATTGCATTTAATAGCAACTACCCCTTGGACAGAACACTCGTGACGTTGACACCCGGGGTGTGGCTGTACATTTTAGTACTACCTTTTTCATATCCTGTTTACGAGCCCCTGGCCAGTCACACAAATTAATGATATCATGATGTTTACGATGCGTTTTTATACAAGGTAAACAATCATTAAGCGACAAAATACATTGGAGTTATTGGAGCTTTTAAATGTTTAACTAGTGTGTGTTTTCGAACTAACTATTTGCTGAAAGACTTTCAATTAGTGAAAAGAAATTCTAGTCGGTGATGTATTCAATGCCACTAACTTTGCACAGTACAAAAGAAACTAAACAATTTTCATTGGAACAGTATATGCCAGCTAGAGTATAATAAATATTGACTAGCATTGGCTTCTCCAAGAATGGATGAATCTGATAGTAAATATACAGAGGTTATAATGCCCCTCGATTTTAATGAAACGCTATTCAACGGCACCAAAGAAACTCTCTGTGTAGTAAATGAGACAGTTTTGAATACGTCATTGTGCAATCATTCTAACGTCACAAATTCAGCGAGTATCGCCCCTCCCGCTTCCCCGTATCTAGCATGGCAGCAAGTAATTATAGGCGTCGTGCTGGCAATTATGCTCGCCGGAACAATTCTTGGAAATATATTGGTCTGTTGTGCTGTGGGGATTGTAAGAAAATTACGAACTCCGTCAAATATGCTTATCGTATCGTTAGCAGTCTCTGATTTATTGGTGGGGCTTTGTGTGATGCCTTTTACCACATATTACCAGCTCCGTGGCCACTGGTTATTGGGCTCTATACTCTGTGATATATATACCTCCCTTGATGTACTCCTCTGCACGGCTTCCATTTTGAATCTCTGCGCTATCAGTGTGGATAGGTACTTCGTTATTACAAGGCCATTCCAGTATGCCGCAAAACGCACTCCGAGACGCATGGCCGTTATGGTCGTCATCGTCTGGCTCATCGCGGCCGTCATATCGATACCACCCATGTTCGGTTGGAAATCCCTTTATGTTCAAGGATTTTGTATCATTAGTCAGAATATTGGATACCAGTTTTATGCAACTTTCGGTGCTTTCTACTTACCATTATTTGTAATGATAGTCGTTTATTATAGAATTTACAGGGTGTCTTCAAGGTTAGCTAAAACTGAACAAAGACAGCAAGGCGGGAGCAGTCTCACAAATGACACTTCGCCAAAGCTAAGGTCACATTCTACTTCGAGTATTAAAGACATATTTAGGTTAAAGTCTCCTTGGAAATCAACAAAAAGAGACTCAGTTGATACGAGCAAAGAGGAGAATCATAATTACCCTAATGGTGACTTAAAAATTGATGATTCTAGCGGTGTGTTGATTCCTCCATCGCGAAATCCTCCCCAGCGCTCTCATAGCCATTCTCCGCGCCTTTCATCTGCGAGAAAATCTATTTTTCAACGTTTATCTCGAAAGGACAATCACCACCATCACAATGCAACAGAACGCAAAGCCACAAAAACATTAGGTGTTATAATGGGTGGTTTTACAGCTTGCTGGTTGCCATTCTTCATATTAGCAGTCATTCGACCATTTTGTGTTGACCCAGAGACTCAATTAGACTGCATCCCAGTTTGGCTAACCAGTGTATTCCAATGGCTCGGATACGCCAACTCCCTCCTCAACCCCATCATCTACGCCCGCTTCAACAGAGACTTCAGGGCACCGTTTAGGGAGATCCTTTGCTGCCGATGTAGTGGTATTAACATGAGACTACGATCAAAAAGTTATATTGACGAATATGGTAGTTCTCGACCTATAGTTTTAAGAGACAATTTAAGAAGCACTAGGATCACGTGTACAATGCCTTCGGATACTGTTGTCAGGTTTAGTAGCAAAAACGGAGACACGGAAACAGCGTTGAAAATGATTGGAGACAGTTGTAACGGGGACAAGCACGACTTATGATGAAGGATGTAGTTCTTCCAACATATTATTAAAAGTTCTTCCAAAGTCACCGTACCAAAAACCAAATTGGACTTCACAAGTTCAAGATATTTAGAGTTAAAAACTATCTGTGGTAGTAAACCAATGATCTGATTTAAAGGTTGATTAAGGTGGAAAATTGCTTGATTGGGAAGTCATTAGGCTGTAGATATGTAGATCCATCTTTGGTTTAGGACTAGGGGGCTTAGTTCTACTTCGATGCAGGTTTCCTGAAGGGTTGTATCAACCGGAAATCTGCATATATTTAATATCAGAGTTATTTACTTACCAAAAACAAGCAACTTTCTGTCTTGGATACAACCTTTAGAATAGGCTCGAGGTGAATCTCATAGTTTCATGTCTTAAGTAAAGATGGCAGTTAAATTAAAACGTGCATTTTCGCATTTATGGAATAGTCAAATCATCATCTACGTGTATTGGTGATATGTGCTCAAAGTACATTTATGTAAATAATATCGAATAATGCAGTTCAATATGTAATCCAACGTTTACTTGTCAACACTAAATCAAAGTCACATACGAGTATATTATACTATACATATATATTGTAACTAATTAATAAACACATCGATCATACTGTTTCAAGAAAGTTCTATTGTTGATTATTTTTATAACTCGTGATTTGGTACAATGACAGGGAACACGTTTTGAAAAATCTTGTACGCGAATGTGTAACATTATGACCCCGATGGATTATTGTCCCTTTCAATGTTTCCTCACAGATCAGTTCTCATAGTGTTCTGGAAATTCCATGCTGAATGAGCTAAAATCTGTGCGAACAGATAAGACAGTGTTCTTATGGACTATGGGCTTGCGCGGACGTGGAGGTGCACCAGAACTTCGACTCTGGTCAATCCTGATGATCAGTTAATGAATAGTACTGAAGGACTGACACAATTACTCGACGTTCACGTTTTGTAAATGTCAGCCTGTTTTGAGTAACCCCCTGTGTTGAATGATATAACGTTAGAGAACTAAAGTTTTAAGTGACTTGGGGTTATAAGGCGTGGGCTTATGCTTGAGATGATTCCTTGCTAGTACAGCATAGAATTCGAAGCGTTATCATACTTTGGAAAAATAAGTTATTTTTGTTAACATAAAAACATACACATACTTCGAAAATATTAAATTGATTATACCTAGTATGGTATCTTAATGCATTTTTGCCTCATAAATAGCAAAACATGCAAAAAATGAAAAATTTTAATCTTTAAAGAGCACATACAAAAAAGCAAAGTCAATGTCCTTCAATTTTTTGTCGTTATTGAACTATCCATTGAGTTGAGCAGAAATAAGAAAACCTGTGATATAAACTCTTATTTAAAACCAAGTTCACTGCCTGAAAATTAATAAGTGAAATAATTACCATTTAACTGGTAATACAGGGTGTCCCGAAAGTATGGGACCCCTCCCTAGGAAGACATATTCCAATGTCTCCATAGTATGTGTCATATACCATTTTAAAGATTATCCAAAGTTACAGTGTTTGCAATTGGCTAAAATTAAAGTCCAGCTTTACACCAAATGATCAATAGTCGGTTCGTCTCCCTTGACGATGGCTACAGCAGATTTCTTCTCGATTTTTAATGGAAAGGTTATAATATTTAACGAGTTTTATATTTCGCTGATAATTGTCTAGTGCGAAATACGCGTAATTGAACCCACCCGTGTAATTAAAGGCATTCACAATATGAGACATTGGTATATGTCTGCCTGGGGGTCCCATACTTTCGGGACACCCTGTACTGTACGTAAAAAGCTGGTTTGTAATAGTTATATATCCGAACACCCCTCTCATTCGAACATTTTTCAATGTGAACACGTTTCTCTGTGCCAACTTTGTACTCTTCCATTGACTACCATGTTAAAACCCTTGAAATGTAAACAAATGTCACACCGATTCGAACACCTGTGACAGGTCGTTTCACAGACCTTCGCGATCAGCTGTAGCAGGGTATTATTCACTGCAGGCCCATAGCCAGGATTTACCAGGGGGAGCAATTTTACCATGGGTGGAGTTAGTGCCAAGGGGGGGACTGTACTACAGAAAAAAGTAGTGAAAACTCATACATTTTGCCGAGTTGTACATTTCTCAATTCGCAGCCTAATTTAATAAAATATTTTAGATTTCAGTTACATGACAAGCTTCTACCTGATCTCTTTTGCCCGTTCAGATTATGAAAATATATCGCCTGCATAAGACTTAATTCACCTTCCAAATTTTCAATAGATGTCAGCACGGGATGGAAACAACTATCCATATAAGTTCATGCAGTTTATGAAGTTACAAATAGATGTCAGATACTCCCAGTCGGGAAATGCTGACATATAAGGGAGTTTCAATAACTGGTTACTGTAAAACTGAATAGAATGAACAGATAACACAACTTTGTTTTATTTCTTTTGGCTGCGCCAGACTGCCATAAAAACTTACAATAGTCACTTAATTTCATGATTTATCAAAAAGTGTTGGTTGAATCTGTGCAAAACCCGAATGTACATATTATGATTAAAAATTAAATTTTGGTTGTCGAACGAATAAATCAATGTTTTGAAGAATTTGCAGCAATGGATGATTTGGGCCACCATGTTTTCTGTTTTAGAAAAGTTGAAAAAGTTGTGGAAGATGATTGAAATAGAATAACGATATTAATCAAAGTGTTCTCATTTTCATACCGATGCGATATGATTTTTCCATTCGCAAATTCGATGCATGGTTTCTGATTATTTCCATCTTAGATTGGTCCGTCAGTAGTGTTTCTAATGTTTAGACTTGATTTGACTTTCCTTTTGACTTTTGATTTCTAATTTTGACAAGTTTTAGATTTTTGTTTAAAACACGTCCAACAATCCAGCACTATACTGCATGAAAATGATAATTAATATTCCCCAGGACGGGACGGATATAAGGCGTGATCTAGGAATTTACCTTTTATATTCAAGAGGTGTTAGTAATGCTATATTTTTAAAGAAATGGAATCAAACTATAAGGGGGTATGAAACTTGGGAATATTCATCTATTTTGAAGCTATAATCATCTTTTAAAAAGAATTATCAATCTTATTTTTGACATGGTTGAAGTTCGCTAGTTTTGTCCCTCCTCTAAGCTCGTTGTTCAATGATGAAATCTGAGACGAATTGTTCAAGGAATACACGCGCCAAATAGTATAGGCCTCCATCATTTAATTGTACGTTTACTTTTATATCAAGGTTGCGTATAGGATTTACATTTACCACGTCCTTCTGATGAATATGGTTCATTTTGAATAAACACTGAGTCCCCATTACATGTTTTTTGTCCATTACAGTCGTTCCATATATTTGTATAGCTGTATTTATTCCACTTTTTTAATACACATTTTCTTTCTTGCGCTACCTGAAACCGACAGAAATGTATTCTCAAATCTCAATACTAAATTCAGATATGCAAATTGCTCTAAATTCTGGAAGCTCCATATCATTTCAATATTTCCATTAGTATAATGCTTTAGCATAACAGCTCAACTCTGGGCGCAATCAGTCTAATCTCAATCCCCTCAATAACTTTAATTGATAATACATAGGCTGATCATTTATTGAAGACTTCAGTTTATCCTCACAAATTGCATTAGAGAGAGGAACTAAAACACAGTAATTATTGGATCGGGATAGTTGGGCATATGTTAGTGTTCTTAATCTCCCGGTAATTAATTAAGTCCATCTCTACACACGGATCAGTTGATTAATACAGGAGGTAGAGACGTACTTGAGACGTACCGTTCAGGAAGTGTTATCATTGTGCATTTATTGATATTGATAACGCTTACTTTGATCGGTTTAATCCCCAGTTTAATCCTATTATCGTACTGTCAACTTTCTCCAATTAGTTGCGCTGAACGAAATAGATTGAGCACATTAGGCAACGACGGTATATACTACTTAATTGAAAGAATCATTGTGACTTATTATACATGTATGTCAGTTGTAAATGAACTAACATGAATTACTAATTAATTAAATTAATATCTAAATTGGGTTAAAATTATATTTTTCTCCAAACAGAAAACTACGTAAGCCTACATTGAATATGTGGTAATTAAACGCATATAAAATAAAGATCTACAGTAGATTAACACGATTATCATTGATTCAATTAATATTTACAATGTTATTTCAGCAACCGATAGTGGAACAACTTTCATCGGTTAAAAAGGAGTTTCAACAAAAGGTTTCATTAGTCGAAAATAAAATAAGAAAAAACATGAAATTGCAAATAATTCTGCGGACCATAGTCGTCCAGATCTTTATTTCTTTGTGCAACTGATATTTATAAACTTTTCGGCAAATTTATTTCAATCCATTTCTTTTGCTGCAGTTGATCACATAAGTAATGTTATGTTTACTTTATAAAAGACGACATTCAAGAATCAAATTCAGAGGTCGCTGGAGATTTTCCTTGCCCGTGGTTAAAAGCAAGAATTCTTAAATTTCAAAGATAAATTTCTCTACGTCGAACACGTTGAGGTTGCAACAAAGTCCCTGCATTATATTCTTCGAAAACAATACTAATCGTTTTCCCACATGCAACAGCAGCAAGCACTTAGAAGCGCCTACAACTGACAAGCCGACGAAAGCGAGAGACACTTTTCAAGAAACTCAAGTACCAGCAATTCAAGTCCATTTTCCAGATTAGCGTATGCGCACGCATGTGATACTTCTGTTAAATCACTATGAATGTTCAGGATACCTTCAGAAGTCGATCTAAACCTCATCGAAGCCCATGGAATCGTTGGTATCATGATGACAACACAAACATTGAGTAGCGATTAACTTCCAACTCGATTTATTTTAGTTTGAGGGATAAGGCCACTTTTTGCTGATCAAATTGCCAGTAGTTGTTACAAACGTGCTGAGAAAAAGTGGAATATAGATAGCGCGGAACGAGTAGGTATTATAGCGCACAAAACAACCATAAATACATCAAGTACAAACGAGCTAAACTAAGTGGTATCCATAGAGGTTGGGAGAGGAGAAAAAGTGTAGACAAATTATGTCAGGAGAAAGTGAGAAAAATTTAGCGGATGTAGAGACACCATTACCACGTAAAACACCATTTTCAATAGATTATATTCTTACAAAAACATCAATCCGTCCGTCATATTACGGTTCCAACGAAGGAAATACAACGACGCAATTGTCACTTCGTAATGCGACGTCAAGTATGAAAGCAATGACTCCTTCCGCCGTAGAAAATAGTTCACATGCGCGCATGGCTTCGCATCATTTATTTTCTAATGTGTACAATTATCCTCATAGCAGACTCTTTTACCAGCAGAACACACAAAATTACGAGCAAAACGTAAAAAATGAGCCACACGACCTACGGATGAATGTCCTTCCTGGATACCAACCTTACGCAAAAAAATTTCAGAGGCCTATTGACAGACTTTCATTCTCAGCAGACGACAATCACGAAATTACTACGCGTCGTGAAAACAATGATGAACAATCTATTGACGATTACCATGTTAACAATACATCAGGCTCTGATGATTCGAAAGAGGAGTCCGATGTCGATATATGCGACACTGATGATGAATCGAGTGGTTCTATGTCTGACGAAGATGAGACCAATACAACGACCGAAGAGAGGGAGGGAGACGAACATCAGGACAGTAGAGAGAATGGCAGCAAAAAACATTTAATCTGTGGTAGGTGAAAATTCGAACCTTCATACTACCTAGTGGGTATTTTGAAAACACAAAATCTGCCACTCTAAATTTCAAAAAATCTTTAATCATTATTATTAGCCATATAAATGTTTTATTATTATGTTGTATATTGAAGAATAAGAGGAAAATATTAGCGTGTGTAGTAATTGGCAGAAACAGTTCTTTAAAAGCTATCATTTTTATGAAAGGTATTATCTGGTAATATTTGCAAACACGTATTATCTTTTCCTGATAAATTACCAAAAGAATGATCCGTTTTTACTTTTTATGGCTTGAAATGATGTTTCCTTCTGTAGTCCATATGGTTGATCAAAAACAAACTGCATCATTTTAAACAAATCTTTCATCTCGGTATGGCCTTCAACAAATAAACGCTGTCATTGTGAATTATAACCCTCTCAAGAAGAAAATATCTCAATTTTATCTCATCCCACTTTATTCCTACTAAACGCTGCTTAGAATTCACAAGATACCTTTAAGTGTGGCACTTTTTCTTTAAGACAAATATCGTTCTGACTGGTTTACACGTTATCTCTTGTTTAGAGCGATGTTTGCAACATTAGAGAGTGAGAAAATATCACTCAATATAAATACTTTATGTTGTCAAATACGATTCTCACATGCGCTGCAAATACCAACATATGTGGTTTGGGATGTAGCCACTTAGTCCCGGAAGAGATGTGTCGAGTTCTGAAAATGTACGAAATGTGAAATGATATTAACCTTTCCTGTTGGATCGTTTTTCATTGGGCGGTTGATATTTTCAAATCAGAATAGTGTAAAAAAGGTACTATTTTCAATTAAAAACATTTCATTAAACCTGAAATATGCATTTGATTTGCTGTTGCATTGGCACCCATTAGAACAGCACCCGTCGTGCATTAAAAAATATAGGGAGACCCATGCTCGTATTCATTGACCCATGACATACAAATGTTCTACAAGTATTTATTCATAATAAATTCTCGAAGTGTTTTTGCATTCAATTTAAGGGGTTGATCAAATAGATTTGTATCATTTGAATTCTAATAGAATTTCATTTCATTTTATTTAGCAAATATATAATTATATGAATTGTTCTATTTGTTTGATCTCACATATTGTTATGGAATTAGAAATTGATCATAATATATGGATGGAAATGTGTGAAAAGATGGACTCCTGTATGAATGTAGATTAATTCAAATTAGTATTAATTCAAATGTGTTATCTTGCGTTGGGAGGAATATCATTTGCAAATATAAATAAAAGATGCAAGCATTGTTACATGTAGCATACTTAAAGATAAGTTGTACAAAATTGTCTTGTGACTTTAAAAAAGACTCAATTTCATGATAAAACTTTCAAGAAACGGAACTACGATTTTAAATATCGATTTTGACAATTACGGGGACGTCAGTAATAAACCACTTAACTAATCGAAAAAACAAAAATTTGGTGCTTTGATAATTAATTATAATGCATATCCCATAATAGTTGGTTTCATTTAGGATAGTTATCAGTACATAATAACTCATGAAATCAGACATATTGGACAAGCAAACACTTTGCTAAAAGGAGGCCACCAAGAAATGATGGCGATATTAAGATAATCATGCTCTTCAAATGTCTTTACTCTCTTCCCCCTAGCCTAAAGATCAAAGAAACACAAATCACAGAGAAGCAACATTTTGTTATAAAAATTAACAACGTTATTTAAACAAGAAAAATGATTCACCTTAATGATATTTCAAATTCTGACAATTCAAAATACGGTCGATGACAGCCAACATATATTTAGTGTTTAGAAACGCAATATTAAATGGCCATAAGATTGCTAAAGGTAAAATAAATTGGTGAATCTTACTTATCTGTGAAGCGCATCTTGTCATATACGGCATCTCCTAAGAGGTGCTTGGAAAGTTATGTCTGCAGCCTGAAGTGTATTATGTTCATTTCGTCAAGTACCACTGATTGGAATGAAACTTAGACCACCAACTTGGAATTCAAAGTGTATTTGAATCATCGAGTGCATTGATTATTCGTAAAACAATTAAATCATAATGTATAAATGACACCAATTTGGCAAAAATACTAAAAAATTAAAATAGGTTAAATAGTACATTATTGATCCAAGCGAATTTGACATGACGTAATCCTTGAAAGTGAAGCGCTAAAAATAAAGCAGGCCCTCCGATGTTGTATGTATTGTTTGTGAAAGCCTGTAGAGTTGAGAGGCCCCCATGGAGTTATGTATACAAACATATACCACAATGGGTCTAAATCTAATTGGTCCTTTCCGCAATCCACACGTGGATCTGCAATTGTCTAAGTGTTCTGGCAGCCATTTTTTATACTACTTAGCATCTTTTTTTTTACGTTCTCGAGGAAAGAACCTTGCTTTTTTATTACAAAAAAGCTGGTGTTCTCACTTTAATTTTTTATTAGTGTAATTGATAGGATTCTTTTAATTCATAACATGATAAACTTCCGATAAATGAAGAAATGCATTTCTACATATATGTTAAGTTCAAAAGTTTATTTCTTTCAAAGCTTGGACATTTAAAAAGTATTTATTGAAATTCGTCGCTTGCTAATATCAATTTCCAACAAACGCAAAAAAACATTTCTTGGTAAAAAAAATTAACTATGATATCAGAAACGATGGGAAAATCCATTTTCTTTTAATGGATTATTGTTTTGTAAGTTCAATTAAGGTATACAGGCAGGTTGTTTGACTAACTGACACCCTGGCTAAGTGAGCGTGCGGAGAAGTTTGGAAAAGTGGGACGATTATCAGAGAAACTAAGTGGCCCTTAGATAATTGTCATGTATCTTCCAAGCATAACACCAGATAAATAGGTATTTCGTGACTTCAACTTTCCGAAATATAGATAGCATATCCCTTCTAATAAGAGCCCGTGTTGTCCGGCTCTAAGCAGTGTAGGGGTAAATTCTGATCTTAGGATTAGATCCTATGTTTAATTTGGAAGCAAACACCGAAAGTTAATTTTGAAGCAAACACCTAAAGTTAACCACGATAGTTCAAAATTTTAGAAATGAAAGATCGATTTCGTTTAGATTTAAAAGGTCTCCACGTTTGCATTTCGACCCTGACCCTACTCTTTCAAGAATGGCTGCCATGTCAATGCTGAGACGTAAAGGTGTCAGAAATAGATAATTGCTCCATAAAAGCCAACAATTAGCGGATAAATATTTTGACGCACTGCAGACCCCTATGTACAGTTGGACTGGTACTATTGTTATAACCAGCAAAACGCAATAGCAACTTTTTAAAGCGTTTAAGCAATCTAACGTTTTAGTTACGTGATTTGGTGGTGAAATTCATTAAAAACGATGGTGTACTATTTTCACCAAAATGTCTTCTTTTTGTTCTTCCAGCCGAGAGAAAAGAACTCAGTCTTACCAACTCTCGACCAACAAACAAACCAAGGAAGAAGCGTTCACGTGCAGCGTTCTCACACGCCCAAGTGTTTGAACTGGAGCGTCGATTCAACCACCAGCGCTACCTATCGGGGCCTGAACGCGCAGATCTGGCAAACGCGTTAAAACTAACAGAAACGCAAATCAAAATCTGGTTTCAGAACAGAAGATACAAAACTAAGCGGAAACAGCTACTTCAAGAACACTCAATGCCGATTATGGCGAGAAAGGTTGCCGTAAAGGTACTTGTAAAAGACAACCAAAGACTTTATAATCCAGAGGATGTAATTCGCCCAGTTCTTTATCCAAGTATACCAATACCGAGTCTCAACTTTTATCCCATTTATCCACTCGGGCTTTGATTGTTTCATCTCTAATCCATTTGAAATTATGACCTATCCATGCTTTGTATGCAAAATAATGTTCCTCTGTTAATAAGTGATTCCTTCTATTTATAAAATTCACACCATGTATAATAGTATCTTCAACAACGATTTGAGCAATCAACCTGGATATGGACTATTTAAGATTATTCTAAAATGTTTTTCCGTCTTGAAATCAGATGTTTAACTAATTATGATCATCGCATGCATAAAAAAATATTACTATACTAGTAAGTTAAATGCGACGGGCGCGTGACATGTATTTTGTATTTCACTTCATCTAATTTATTATTTAATTGTACTATTATAGGATAATTTATACAAATTTATACAACTTTATTTAATAATTAATTATATGTTCGTCAGACACACATGTACATATACTTGACAAATAAATATCTAAATTATACAATCTTTAAATGTAATTCTTGTGTTCAAGACAAATGTTCTCCAATCCTTGTACAGTACATATATCAAAAAGTAGACTTGCAAAGTTTCTTTCATTGACAAAGTTGGTTAAAAGAAGACGACCGGAAAATGTTGAAGAATCTTGTTCTATTTACGCTTCCAATTTCATTTTCTCAATTTAAATTATGAATAAAAGTGTTTGAAAAAAGGACGCCGGACGTTTACCCTTATCCGCCCAGACCCTTCACGAATTAACATTTCGTGCATAATGAGTACTTTATCTGTAACTATTAATGTAAGATATCTGCATCGATTCCACCCTGGGAATAATTCAGACCAAAACATCAGAGGATCATAAAACAGCGTCCACTTTTCCAATGGATTGCGACAATGAGGGCCATTAAGGCTAAATCATTTTATGAATTATACAATAAACGCGTAATTAATATCTTCTCTGTGACAACGTACCTGCTAAGCTGCATTATCCGATGATTATAATATTAATGGAATAGCAGTATTGATATTAATTGCATATATTATCTACACCCCCATCATAAGTGTGGAACCCGATTCCTCATTGTGTAAGGCTGTTTCTTGTTTGACTTGTATTTTTCCTCGTTTATAAAATAATCTGTCATTATTGATAATTGATCGACAAAATAAAACGTGGTTTCAAACGGGACTGTCGATTGCCAAACTTTTAGTGGGGAGGGTAAGACATCTACAACAATGTATTCATTTTGATATTAAATGTAATAAATCAGATATAATTAATTGTTAGAGATATCATATATCCCAAATGAACGAGGATGTTAGCTAAAAAGAATAATTATTAGAATATGGAATAATAATTTCATAATATTCTAATAATCTTTTTTATTCTAAAATATTAATTCTCTAATTTAAAATTACATACTTTGCCAACGCTGACTTATTAATAAGTGAAACGCCCTGGATGACTTTTTCTTCTTCCATGTTTATTTAATCTATTATAAGTTTTAATGATATAGGTATCAACTGGAATAGAGTTGGTAATATATGATTGGTGTGGTATTTGTGTTCTTCCTTTGGGGATATAGAAAATACGGGCAATGCCACTTAGATGCTACACAGACGTTAATTTGTTTGTGGGTATACTTTGCACACATTTCTTTGATTCCAGAGTTTATACTTGTGAAGTGTAGTAGTCGTTAAGGGTGCAATTAGAAATGATTTAGAACATATTGTAAACTCTGGTAGGTCTATCCACCACGTATTAAAGGGAGAATCAGATCGCGAGTGAGCTTTACAAAAAATTGTTTAAATTCTAAAATATTTCTGGCTCATATCATTTTTTGTCATGTCATTTTTTTAATCCCTAAAATATGTAGTTATTTTAGGAAAACTTCGGATTTTCACAATAATCTATAATTCATTTTATAAATATGGTTACCATTTTTATTATTTGGGAGAATTTTTGATTCTGTCTTCATAATACCAAATTATTATATTTTTTAGATTTAATCAACCGCAAAACGGCATAAATAACGACTAGATAGTTTTTCATGCAATGCCTTAGCATACCCCCTATAACATGTACTCATACCCCCTATCGGACAAAGGTAACACATATTATAATTTACTTTAATGATTAAGCAAATTATCGGGCGAATAACCGGCATCGCTATCTATCACTATCAATCATATACTATAATTTTCACATTGATTGAATTTTGCAAATCGGACCTGAATTATTCTCATGTTATGCAAAACCTTGGATCAAACAGAGATATCTCTCCCTCCAAACTGAGATGCAATCACAGCGAGAATACAATATGATAGACCTCCTTATCGACGTCATCTCCAACCTTCTGAGTTGTTCAAGATATTTACACATACGGATAATGTTAAGTAGCGCCTCTTTTTGCTAATTTATCTCTAATTGTTTATATTGTGTGTTCCTCACCACAAGGTGGACAGACTTTACGGTTAATACTGACAAATAGATGCCCAATTATCATCATTAATCTACAGCTACCTACTTCCAGCCCTCCACCACACATCTAGTTAATTCAACTTCATGAAATACAAATCTCCAAAGCTGGGCGCAATGTGTCACAATGTTCGTAAAAGATACTCCATTAAAAGAACAGTTGCTATTTTGGGGCCGACAGCAAACTGACGTAATGTGATATATATTTACAAGTAGGTTCGCTACGCTCAACGGGCTTGTTTTCTCCGATGCATATAGAGTAGGACTTTTTTTATCTTTTCATTCAGCGATAGCTTGATCATTGGTGGTTTGTATCATGGCCGTCGGGTGTTGAGAGGGGGGGGGGTGCTACCGCATCCACCTTTGGCACCCCAAAAATTGAAAAACAATTTTGTTGAAAAAAAGATTTGCCAGAGGGAGCGCGCCACCCTCACATCCCCTAAAAACAATTGAAGAAATCTGAATTTATTATATCTCAGACACTTTAGAAAGCCAAGAAATGCACCTTGAAATAGTCAATTTTTCAATACAGTATATTTCATTGATTGTTTCATCCATATTTATTAATTGAGCGGTATTGTCCAGAGGTATCGTTTCAACGTATCAACGAACGATCTCACAAATTTAAGTAATACTGAATTCCCTGGCCGGCCTTTGATTGAAATGGTACTGTATATGGTTCCACATATATAACATAATCAAGGTAGAAGTAGGTTTCCGACTTGTGTTTTATGAGAGATAATAAAGTGTGCAAACACTTAGGAAACACAAATATATTCACCACAATTTCAAGCGGTTCTGAAAATGCTTGATTATTGTTTTAAAGACTGTTAATAGAGCCATATAAACAAGATGAAGAGAACTTGAAACATCTGTAGGATTCGCACTGCTAGAATTCAGCTCGGCAATTCAATATCCACCAGCTACAAAATACGTTCTGTATATTCACGACATTGGTAGAATTTTGTTGATATGGCTAAGCCGAAATTCATAATTTTTGATGATGGTGACTGGAATTTATGTGTATGTATGGAATTTCATTTCAACAGAATTCTGATGAAAATATAAATTGTTATGTTGGGAGTCGGCTGTAATTCTAGGCAGGAGATCAAAAGGGCCAGAGGGGCAGATTTTTGGCCATTGTTAAAATATATATGGGCACCATTTTTTTTTTTGGGGGGGGGGGGGTGGGTAGGGTACACTTGTGGAACAATTCAATTTATTTGAATTCAATACGGATCCGTTACTAAGAAGCGCATTCCCAGATGCATTGAATGGAACATTATCCGAATCGACAGATATGTTGTCAGAATGTGTATATCACCTGACGTTGGGGGTCTATGATGAACCGGTTGCGTGTTTGTTTACGTTAATCAGCTTAATGGTGTATTAATTACTACGCTAATTAGGGTAATCATTGCACCATCAGCCTACAAGCTTTATCAATTCAAATACCAACAATGTTCTATCTGCTACTCTGTTACCGCGCGCAACTCTGCTCAAAATGAGATATCATGTTGTCCTTTCAGAATCTATCCGTCCCAAGTTTATACTATTTCAGTCATACACCAAGTCCATGTTTCATCCTCTTTTGACTCTTTCTGAGACAATAATCATCTTTGCAGATTTAGCCGATTTTAAAATTGTTTTACCAGATAATATAGTGAGAATTCAAAAATCACACGTGAGTGCAAGTTCTTTAATCTTTTTTTTAATTTTTTTTTATCATTTTATAAAACAATTACAGTACAGTTACATGGTAAACCTACATTTTACAATACAGTATTGGTTAAATATTTAGTCTTTAAGAGACGTTTAATCTTTGAGAACTCGTCCCTTTCTCGAACATGATTGGCGATAATAAGTGGAAACAAAAATTCAATGCATAAGGAATGTTAAAAATAATCAGAAAGCATTTAGGCCATTTCATTTTAAGCACAAGTTTACGTAAAGTTGAAATCATTTTGTCCTCTCATTAAATGCCCTCAAAATACAATGTAATCAAAACAAATGTCCCTCAATCTCTTATTCAATAGCTGAAAACAGATTTCATTCTTATAATCATTTTATAGCCATACTCATTTCATATAGTGTTTTCTCGCGAATAAAATCTTAAGTCTCATCAGCATGTCGTTTTACTGTGATGCTGGAAAGTTTTGTTGTTTGCCGAATTGGATATAACTGTATGTAACCTTGTAGTTGAATTAGACAAAAACTTTTTTCAGACCGTATGCGAATTCCCATACTTATTGTAGTTTCTTTAATCTCAGCGTGACCGGCCAAATCTTCCCAAGATAAAACCAGTTAAAATCAAAATTAGAACAACTTCCCGGGATTCACTTGTAATATGTTTTCTCACCTGAGTCTCGTTGTTTTTAGATAAATATTTTGCTTTCAATCTGGCGCAGATTGAAGATGGGAGAACAAGTAAAAGGGATTAAGAAAGCAATGTGTTAATGTCATTATCCATAAATAGACAACGGAGATCTAAGGCGATCACCACGAGTGCACATACGCCTTAGCCGGTGCTTTGAAAACAAGCATAATACCAAATGGAGATATCCTGTGTTTTCCCGAAATCGGGATAATCATAAAATGGCCATGGGTTCTTTCAATTTGCTCTTGTCTTTTAAATGTAAATAACGTTAACGTCGTAATTTTAATGTTTCGTCTGAAGCTGATGGCTTGGTGATATTTAATTTGCGTATATTGTGTGCGCTTTCAAAATTTTAAAATTACATCCCTTGCATGCAGACAGATCATCATGATAAAGCATGACATCTCATTTCTTCTCAGCCCTGAGATGCCATCGATGACATGATGAGCTTGATTTGGCGATCCAGGAGAGCCCAAAATTGAGGATTTTTGATATTTCATCCCAGCTCACATTACATCTAATTGGGGTCATAAAACTTGTGTACACGTGCCTGTTCTAATATCTACTATTAAATACAATGCCTATTATATACTGTATTGACGGTAAATGATTACATGATAACTATCACACTTATTGACAATTATAACCCTTCCCATCTGATGTGCTCAGATCGCAAAATATGCCTCATAATATCAGAGCATGTTTTAGGTGAAACAGAAAGATGCTATGAGTATCAGAATGCAGACAGATCGCCTAAAATTACATTCGTATGATGTGAGACTCGACATTCACCGGGAAAGTAGAAACATTTTGTCACCCATGATGCAAATTAATTTCTACTGCTTTTTTGCGGTTTTCTGTTTTGAAAAATAGCGATGTTTATTTCTTGATTTTTGAAAATAAACTACAAATATTTCGTAACGGGTTTTTCTTTACATCGTAAGTCCGATCACTGCCATTTCGGATGAGTTGCCTTGAAATATCAAGACGTCACGCTATTCTCATACTTATACGAGTACAAGTAGAACTCAATGTAACTGTCCTTGACCACTTATTAAGCTGTATAAAATTAATTTGCTTTATGGGTGACAAAATGTTTCCGACTTTCCCGGTGAATGTCGAGTCTCGAATCATACAAATGTAATTATAGGCGATCTGTCTTCACGGGGTGAGATTAATGTGCTCGTATAGAATCGTCAGCTGCGAGCTGTGATGTCCTGCAATGGGCCTATACCGTGCTTATAGTATATTCTTTAAAAGACAGAGGTCACCTGAAACGCAAGTATTTATTGAATCAAATTCTCTCATCTTGTAATGGTGTAGACAAGAAATGAATATTCTCATCAGGGACGCACAAAGAGCGACATTTCAAGAATCGTGATTGAATTGCTTCAGATATTTTTGTAGTGCTGTTATTAACTGATGGCCAGATTAGTTCAGGTCAGACAACAGTGGCGGATAAGGGGAGATAGGGCCCTAATGTGAGCCCCCCCCCCCCCTTAAAATGAGGCATTCAACGAACTATTTCTCAGGTTGAGGAATATCTGTTACCGAAAGGTAGAGATTAAAAGGTGGATTGGATCGAGTGGATTGGATTCATGTAAAAGGTGAATTGGATCGGGAATCTTCAAAATGTGGAATTTCTTATAAAAAAATTTCTGTTGATCTCCCTCTAAACAATTTCCCTCTACAGTATTACAGGTCCCTTTTGAGAAATCAGAACAAAGCAATGACAAATACATGCTCCAATTAGTTCATGGACACTCTTAAGTATTTAACCGCTTTCCCTTGTAAATCAACTTTTATAAGACATAGATCTTTAGAAAAAGAAAACCTGTCATTCAAATTGATGTGTGAATGTTCACAAAACATTTCTGGTATGTATAGTTTGGATTGAAAACAGATGATATGGATCTTCAAACCAGTCTGCCTTATGATTTATGAAATGTCTCAAATTACACTTGGAATGAATAAGATCGTGTATCAGAAAGCAGGTACCAGGTCATCCTTCTAGCCCACCCAAGCAAGATATTATTACATCTATTATTTGACATTGTGCAAGTGAAGAGAGCACCAATCTTCCTAAAGGGAGATCAATAGAATTTTTAAGGGAAAATCCATATTTTGAAGATAGCCAATCCAATCCACCTTTTACATCAATCCAATCCACTCGATCCAATCCACCTTTTAATCTTTACCTACCGAAAAGATCGGGATAGAGGTCCATGGACTAAAAATACAAATACGAAAACGCATCAGCTGACATCTATAAAATCCATTCAGTTTGTAATTGTATCCATGTATCCAGCCGACATCTATCCATGAAGTTCATTATTGTAATATTGTATTGCATGACAAGATCGCCATCTTTTAAACACAATATATTCGGGAGAAGGCAATACGACTGAAAAAACCCAACAAAAACGACATGCTGTATACGAGTGTACATAATTAGCATTATTACAAGGGAGATGAGAAGGGATTACTCCTTAGAAGTGGTACCCTGGGCTATTGTAGTGGTGTAGTAGTTATTAATCCTTCACGTTCCAACTCACCAGAGTCCTGTGTAGATGTCAACAATATCGTGAAAAAAATGTACCCATATGTAACAAACAAACAAACAAACCGGTTGGTACTCCACTCGATTACGCTGTTACCGAAACGATCCGTAACAATTTCTGAAAATGATGGAGTTTTAATCACTAAAAAGTCCGCTATAAAATTTAAGTTTACATTTTTTGATGATTCTATACACCTTTTAAAATCTTTATAACATCTTTTGTATCACCATCAGAACTGGTCACATATTGTTATAATCTATAACATTTGTTTGGTGCTGCTACACAGTTACTGTCGGTATTGTTGTGGAAAAACGTTTCATTCTTTTTATAATTGATTTATAGAAGCAGTCGCAAATAATATATGAAAAGCTGGCCTTGTACAGGCCATTTGTCAACGATGTAGTGTTAAAACGTTAACACCCTTGATTCCCGCTTGAGCTATATACATATTATAAGTATAAAAAAGAATACAAAAATGCTATTACTGCGAAGAGGTTCCACGCATTAAGCACGAATTCGAATGAGCTTTCAACAATTCACGAGGGAAATTAAATACTTAGCATCCTTTCATCTGGTCTTGTAAACTCTTTTTATATTAATGATGCTTTTTAAATCATTGCAATTCAAGATAAGTATTTATCGCAATTTGTTTTCTAAAAATATGTTGGACTTTTTTTTGAAAAAATTTATCACGATCTTCAAATGAACACGGCTTTCAGTTCAAGAGTTATAAAAACTTTGCCCTGGCTTGAGTGTGACACCGACCATTATCACAGCTAGATGTAGAATACTTACCTTTTAACATGAATGACATATATTGTTCTTGTATAGTCCATGTTGATATTCTCAGTAAGAAATGGATCGAAGAACTATGGCTGTGTAAATTAATATCATTATATAAAAGTGCTTCATTTTAAATCATTCTTAGCTATCCTTTCATAGCATACTTGTAAGATGTAAAAACATACCTTTACGCGTTCTGACAGACTTACCTGAGGACTTACCAATATGAGTAAATAGTTCGTGTATTGTGTAGATTACAAAGAGAAAGTGTATTTTGAGTGAATACATTATTGCTTTTTTCAGTAGTTATGAATGAAACATTCCATTCATGCCTGGTCGTACTTTTGTGGTACTCAAAATCATTTAGAATTATTGTCACAGACGGGTTTCGATTTAGTTCGAAGGAACGTAGGCTGCAATTAGAAATCAAAATATGTATTCTAATATTATTTTTGTTATAACGATTGTCTTAGGATTGACGTTGGAAACCATAGCGCAAGGTAAAAAGCATTCTTGATAGAATAATAGTATATCGATTTTAAACTGATTAATTGTAACAGTTATAAACCAAATTTATTTGTTCCTTTTCTCACCCACCGTAGGTTCTTCAGAGTTTATAAAGACGTTCAACGTATGCCATATATGTAATGTAGTAGTAGTATTCAATCATGAACATGTATGTACTGTACAACAAAACATAATTCTTATGGTTTATGTTTGTATATTTATATTTATTTTATATTTATTCATATTTCGAAATTGCTTTGTTGTAGAATGCAACGGTGCACAGTCAGATGTAGTATTTCTGCTGGACTCAAGTTCAAGCATAACTGCTGACAATTTCCAGAAAGTGAAAGATTTCATCAATGGCATTATTCAAAGGCTAGATGTTGATACAGGTAATGTACGGGTTGGATTAGCCCAATTCAGCGATGGCACCAAAGTGGAGTTCTACCTGGACACATTTAGCAACACTCTGGACATGACGAACAGTGTGGCTAGTATAACCCAACTCGGAAAAGGAACTAACACCCACTTAGCACTTCAGTTGCTCATTGACTCCATGTTAACAATGGACAGAGGGGACAGACCAGGCATACCCGACGTTGTCATCGTTGTCACTGATGGAAAGTCGGACAACGAACAGGCCACCAAAGATGAAGCTATCAAAATACATGAAGCGGGAATTAATACATTTGTTGTCGGTGTAGGAGATACATTAAACACAGATGAACTGAATATGATCGCCACTGATCCTGACTTTGAACACACGTATTTTGCTGGTGATTTTGATGTTCTTGTCAACATAACCCAAGATCTTGTCGAACATACTTGTTTTGATCCAGGTACTTATTCCATCAACAGCATTTGATTATTATAATTTTGACACATTCATAACTGAAAATAGGGAGTTTAAGATTGCATTGTTTTTCACAACCTAAATGTGAACATAAAATATTTAAGCGATGCATTTGTATGAGCGATTGGTCATACGTACAGGTTGGCGTTCGATTTTATATGAAAGCTTAAACTCCCTAATATCAAGAGACTACGTTTACAATTGTATTTTGTAAAACCATATTTATTGGCTCCTTCATCCGTCTGTCGAAATGTATAAATGTTAAACTTTGTTTCAGTTTGTAAGGATCGAACGACAGATATAGTGTTTATTTTGGATGGCTCTTCAAGTATCACGGCGGATGAATTTCTCATGCTGAAAGATTTTGTGAAAAATGTTGTTAATCGGCTAGATACATCAACAACAAGAGTCGGCCTTCTAACGTTTGCAACTGGGACAAATATTGACTGGAATTTGAATAAATATGGACAAAAGTCTGATCTACTTGCTGCCATTAATGAGGTGACTCAGATTGGTAAGCGATTATATATATAGGGGGGGGGGGGGGCATGGTCCCTACTAAAACTTTTGTTGATGAATTCGTCGGGTAATGTTTCATTGGTTCAAATTCATTTTTAAGCCTGAACCCTTTCGTAGTAGTCCAGAAGCTCCTATAATTACTTGCCAATTTTGCACCTTATTATTTTATTTATCAACATTACGCAAGTCAGCAGATATATGCTACCCAATCAATTTGCAGGATATCATAACGTGAACAATCACGAGCACATGTTTGATTGGAGTCGCGCATGCGTAAAGCAAAATTTGAAATCGTGGAAATGTCAGTCATTTCATTTGAACATCATCAATTCTAAACTGCGGCATTACTATTTCAGTTACGCTTCTTTAGGATAATATTACAAAAATGATTAGCAAAATTAAACATTCTGAACGAGATACATTTCAATGACAAACTATTCAAGTTCATAAGATTTGTCATCGAATGTAACAGTGGCATAGCTCAGATTTGGGAAATCTCCTCCTCCGAGAATAGTCTAAAGTATGAAATCCCCGGGATGAAATCTTACTTTGATTAGCCTTAACAACATGAGACGAATTGCAAGGAAGACTATAATTAGTAGAATGCTTCATTCAGCATGATATTTCTTCAAGCACTCCATCTTTTATAAAGTAACCATATGATATATACAGGTAGTTCACGTCATTTGATCATTCCGTTGTACTTAATACTAGGTGGTTCAACACATACGGCTGAGGCAATTAGGGTTGTTCGAGAACAAATGTTCACGACTGAGAATGGTGACAGAATCCAAGTGCCAAATGTCATTGTTCTTGTCACCGATGGAGTTTCTAAAGATGTCGATCCTTTGCCAGAAGCACAAAAAGCAAAGGATGCCGGAATTGCCATTACCTGCGTAGGTGTAGGCAACGAGTTTAAACAAGCCGGGAAAAAAGCACAAGATGAATTGAATGGAATCTCAAGTGATCCAGATGAAAGCTACGTTTTCGAAGTTGGATCATATGCAGAACTAGAAGGAGTCGCAGCGAAAGTAACTCAGCGCACCTGCTACCCTGATGGTATGATAATAGGGTGAAATCGGACGAAAGTCTTTTATTCCCTTTGCGTTGTTGTACGAATTTTTGGGATTATGATTTGGAATAGTTGGGGTTTATTTTACTTATAACTGGTGTATTACATGTTTTCTTTTTCTTGCCGTGCTCTGTAACCATTTTTTGTATTTTCCCATTAGCATTAGCGCAAACATATTTTCGTAGTAGAAACATTTTTTGGAATAAGCTGTCACCTTTTAGTTTTCTGTTACTTCAGTTTGTGGCACGGCAAAAATAGATTTGGCTATATTATTGGATCGTTCCGCTAGTATCCCATTAGATGACTACTTGCTGATGCTAACTTTCACAAAAGATCTGGCAAATAAAGTCGATATCGATGCAGAGCATTTTCAGATTGCAGTTGTGACTTTTAGCGATACTATCACAACGGAACTTGTACTTAATCAGTAAGAGATCATTCTTTATTTTATTCACTAATCACATAAACTTTTTACTTGACAAGTTGTGCGATAACTGCAAGTCTCGATCTGCATGTTAAAAACGTTATAAGACCAACGCCCTTAAATAGGTTAATAGATTAATATGTAAGATACTAGTCAAATAATGAATTATCTTAGTGTTTTCAGAATATGTTATTTTTAATTTTATTTAAGGGCTGATTCAAGAGAAAAATTCATCAACGCAATTGACAATTTCCCATTAGAGCTTGAAGGAGCTACAAACCACGCAGATGTGATCGCTCTTGCAAATGATGTAATCTTTACTTCCGCTAATGGAGATCGACCAGACGCCTCTAACCTTATCCTTATTATTACCGACGGAGTTTCGACTGTTAAAACAGAGCAAACAGTAGTTGAAGCAAATAGAGCTATGGCGGCAGGTATCACAATGATCGCCATAGGTATTGGACCAGAACTAACTGAAAATAATGTGTATCTTGGCACTATTGCATCTGATCCAGATGAGTTGTATGTTTACAGTATCCAAACATTCACTGATTTGAACACCATCCAAAACAATCTACTGGAAAGAAGTTTATGCCCCAGTAATAATACAGTATGCTCGGGAATTACAGATATAATCTTCGCTCTAGATCGTTCTGGGAGCATATCTACTCCTAATTTTGAAATTCTAAAAAGTTTCATTATTCAGCTTTTGAATGGTCTCGATATTGGTGAAAATAAAAACAGAATAGGAGTGCTAACATTTTCTGACAATGCTGAGATTATAATTAACCTGAATGAATTCTTTGATGTCACAAGTATTGTGAACACTATTCAGACATTACAAGCCGGGCCTGGTGCGACGTATACTGCGAATGCTATGGCCAAAGCTCGTGATGAGATGTTCATCGAGGGAAACGGAGATCGTCCAGATATACCGAATGTCCTGGTGCTTATAAGTGATGGTGTTTCCACTGTGAATCCTGGAGAAACAGCACCAGAAGCTCTAGCTAGCAAACAGAAGGGTATAACATTGGTGACGGTTGCAATAGGAGATCAAGTTAATGATGCCGAACTTTCGGAAATTGCGTCCTCGCGGGATTTCATGTTTAATGTTACTCGCTTTGAAGATCTCCCTAACATTGAAACTGCCTTGAGGAAAAGTGTTTGTAATGGTAAATGGCAATTTATTTTATTATCTAGAATTCGGATGTATAAATGATTGTTATCATTGATTCATCATATTGCAATTATCATCGGTGCCTAATAATTAGCTGCTCCACGAATACATCAACTAACAGGTTGCCAAAAGTAGGTTAAGTTAAACAACAATGTGTATAATCTAAAACCCTTCTTTTGGGCCACCCATTTTTTACGAAATATTTTTGTTAAATCTTTTCAGATGAGGATGATTGCACCTCCATTCCCTGCCTAAACGGAGGCATATGCATTGATGAGCTGGTGTCCCACACTTGCCAGTGCCCAGCAGACTTCTCGGGTTTCAACTGTAATCACGAATGCAATGGTTACATCGATCTTGTCTTTGTCTTGGACACGTCTGGGTCAATCTTTGAAGCCAATTTCGATTTGGTTAAGACATTTGTTAAAGACATCATCCTGAATCTCCCCATCTCAAGCTCAAAGACTAGGGTTGGAGCCGTATCATTTGCTACAAGTGCCCAACGTAACTTTTACCTCAACACTTACTTTGATAATCGGGAACTTCTAAATGCCATCGAGAGGATCCCGTACACAGGTAAGACTAAATTAGTTCCTCTTTACTTTATCCTCGTTCTCAAACTAGTCCTGAGTTCTGATTTTGAAACATAACATCAATTCGACTCGCAATATTTCAAATGGAGGAACTAATTTCACTATCATCCTGATGTCATGAGTAAACATGAAAAGGTATCTTGCAAGTCCAAGCTCTAGTTCCATTTGATAAAGATCTTCATTTTTATTCTATTTACGGTATTTACTTAAAGTAAACTTGGTAACAGGATCTTAAGAGGTTCTGGACAAATCATTTGATTCTGGACTTGTCATATTTTTTTTTCAACGAAATCACATCCAAGGGTTGAATTTTTATTAGCTATTTAGAGAGTGAGTCCTGCCTAGTATTAATTTCAATAAAAAAGTTAAAATAGAACCCTATTTGAGAGTCAATCTAATACTTACATTACATTGATAAATTAAGGCAAATCCTGAAATATTTTTAAAGTGCATTTTTTTATGAAATATTATCCAGCAAGTATTTAAATGAAACGGTCTTATTTAAATACAAATCATAACATGATATTTTTCATGAAACATTTTTCAATGAAATTCAATTGAAGGGTCAAGATAAAACGAACTAATTTAGGTGAAAACCCTTACATGATGATGTGTTTTCATAACTTCTTTCATAAAATTCCATCAAGGGGTGAAGATAAAATGATCGAATTTAAGTGATTTAAGGATCACGAGAATATGTTTTCTTTGATATTTTCTATGAAATCCCATCCAATGGTCAAGGTAAAATTTTGATTTTGATTTTGATTTGGTCACTTGTTCGAAAGATCCATATAAGGCCCATAGAACCATATAGGAACGTCATTTTGAATGTCACGTGATAGATCCATATAAGGCTTTTAGAACCATTTATGGAAAGATGAGGGAAGCCCCTGACACCTGTTTCACGATTTCTATGCACTTCATTATTGTACCGAAGTTTGCCGATTCGATTCGTCGTATTTCGGAATCCTGGTGACAATTTTATACTCCATTGGAGTATTTTTGACCTACTTCTTATGACGGAAATTCCCGAACCTTGTTCGGATTAATCCGGATTTTCTGACCTACTTTATCTACCGAGATTTCACGAGTTAACATTCGTCTCATTCCGGAATCCTGGTGACAATTTTATACTCCATTGGAGTATTTTTGATCTACTTTTTCTGGATTTTGCCCTACTTATTATATCTTGACAACAAGCAAATCAAAAAGTTCGACATGAACGGGTCTCGATCAACTAACCTAGACTATGGAAGCCAGGCACGCTAACCATGAGGCCAACGAGCCACCGATATGAAAGAACAAAAGTATTATATATTTATACCGAGCGTCAATTCAAAATGATCCTCACTTTTGTCTCCACTTAAATACGACTCGTCAGTTGTATCCAGAATAGTAGAACGCCTATGGCGCTAGTGAATAACCAAGTCCCATGTGAGTGGTTCGTATCCCTCCGTGATATACTATTTTTGTTTTATTAAATACGACAGAAAGGAGCAAGGTGTAGGTTGAAAACAAGACGTTAGTTTGTTTCAAAACAGTTTGGAAACATTAATCACTGGCGGATTAGGGGGGGGGCCCAGGGGCCCGGGCCCCCCCCCTTGGGTGGGCCCAGAAAAAAAAAATTGGGCCCAAAAAAATTTTTGGGCCAAACAAGGCCTTCAGGCCCCAAAAAGTGGGCCTTTTTGGTCATTACTGGACCTTTTAAGGCCTTATTTGTTAATTTCAGGCCAAATTTTGAAGAAAATGGGCCTCAAAATTTCAAAATTTGGGCCCACTTTAGGATTTTAGGGGCCCAAAATTTTTTTCCGCGCAAGCGCGGACGTTTTTTCTCTGACCTGAAATTTGGGCCCCCCCCCTTGTTGGTTCCTGGATCCGCCCCTGTTAATCTCTGGAACATTATTTTTTCAACACTGATACAAATTTCCCTGACATTTCCCTGACATGTCTACCGTTTCAAAATTCCCGGTCATCTTTGGCCCTTTTGACCTAATTTTAAAATTACCTGACATTTCTAGCACTTGGAAAATCAAGTCAATTTCCCTGACATTTCCAGGTGTGTATGAACCCTGGAAATATCCCACTGGCTCGCCCTATGAATCGCTAGCACAGATTGGATTGATTAGTGTTTCAAAATGGTGGACGAAGTGTTTGATTAGATAATTTACATATTAAGCTTCTTAAAGGGGCAACAAGGCCTGTACATAGAAAATTCGAAATTTTTTACATTTTCTGAATTTTTAGGGCAACATTTGGCTTTAACATCTTTTTTTTACATTTTTTCTTAAAATGTATAGATAAACAATAAAATTTCAGCATTAAGCAGTGCAAATTCAGTTCAAAGCTTCTATAAAGGGAGTCCAACTTATAGATTTTGAAAATCCAACTCGTTTAAAGAAGAATATCAGCAGCTTAAATCACGCCTTGTGATCATACAAAATGGATGGAGGGGGGGGGGGGGGTAGGCGATTTCTGCAAGAAAACTCAAAAAATTTGGAAGATTTATTTTTTTCAAGATAAAATTTACAACTGAATTGCCAAATGAATAGGTGCAGTGCATGGCAAAATATGTAAGGTCTTCTAGTATTTTTTGAACTGATACGCTTCTAAGATATGAGATCTATTATAAAAGGCGCATCATCATCATCATCATCATCATCAACGTGCAAAAGTCAATGTTTTTGCTATAAATCAGGCAACAATGGTCTACACGACCTGTAATAAATAGGTATGAGGGGCGTTATTAGAGAATTTTCGTTATAAGTTTTTTAAAAACTTATACGTATACTTATACTTATAAACCCAATAAACAAGGTGTTTCATAATTTCCTAATTCGTCGGGAAATATCTCCTAGGAAGGTAATAAAAAGGGCCAATGGCATACCATCCGTACCCCCTTGATGTAAAGCATGTTTAGTTGTGTCATATGTGTTTTCTAGAATCAAATAGGCTGATATAGCACACGGGTTTTACAGATTTATCTACTCTCAAATATATTTTTTGTAGATGATCGTTTTGAATCACCTTGTAGAAATAACGAAGGGAGAATTAGTTCAGCTAATGAATGAGTCGAGCTATTTGATTGGATACTATGCCTATTCAGCCGATTAATTTTAATAAGCCATTCTGGTCAGTAGGTCCACACATATACTATGCGGAGATCCAACTCTGTAAGTTTATAATCTGCGTATAAAGGCCCTTTTATACGTAAAAACTTAAAAATTGACCTTATAATTTCATGAGAACTTTGAAATGATCGACTCGTTCGTGTAGTGATTCACTTTAAAGGGTCTTGTTTATCGTACACTACAAGGACCCGTCAACTAGAATTTAGTTTATCGTGTTCATAATTGACACTAGCAAAGGACATTGTATTCGCAGTCCCTAGTTGATGATGAAGCTTGACTATATCGGGAATAGTTATGCCCCACTTGGTACAGATTATGAAAATCAATTTGAATTGATTTTAGTTCGACAAGACCCTTTAAACTATAAGTATACGTATAAGTTTTTGAAACAACTTATAACGAAAATTCTCTATTATCACAACACTGACATTGCTCACTTTTTAAAGTTGTTTCAAAGCGTTATATGTAAATGGGCGTGTGGAAGGCCCGTGGGTGGCAATAAAATAACTCGAACTTCAAATTAAAATATATATAAAATAGTATATTTCAAACTTCAATGTTTAAAATACAATGCTCTGTAATGTACAACATGAACTCTTACAGCAACTACTGACAAGCCAACACCCAATGCAAACTCAGCTACATGTGAGTGAGAAAGACCATAGGGGAACAATAGATATATAAAACTGACACAGTTTGCATAGTTGAATAACTCAAGGTGAAAACTGAACATGGTATTAAAAGAGTAAAACTGCAAACAACCTACTTAGGGACCTGTTATATTGAGATGAATAGGGATTGATTAATATGAACAGTAATAATATAAAATGTGAAAATGACCATGTTACATATACAAAAAATAACCCCATTGTTACAAAATCACAAAAAGTGAAATATCTATTCTTGTATTGCATTTTCGTTCACTGGACATATTTTAATTGCATTGCTATTAGATACATTTTAAGGGTGATATGAAAATTGAACCACGAAAACAGATGTACTTTAAGTTAAAGGGAACTTTCTACCATACCCGCCATGCTATCTGACCCGAACGAGCCACCTTGTGGTGAGATTGGTAACTACCTGCTCGCATCTGCGTTATTACGCAGAGACATAAACGTATACACAAGGAAACGATAGGAGATAACCTATTTTATCTCTGTATACATTTTAACTTTAATACATCGTTGAATCGAATTTGTCCAAAGGTCTTGAAACGTAAAATACCTAAATATTTATCTTAGACCTTGGGATGACCTTGTACAAGAAACATTAATGTTGACCTCGGTTCATCTAATCATAATTCGCCAAGGGCCATAGTATCATCAAACGCCAAATACCTAGACATTGATCGTTTACTTGGATTTAAATAAGGAGTATGATTTTAAAATTGGCTAGGTCGTGGTTAAGCAACAATAGTATGTTCGAAATACCGCTGTGTAATGCCTGGATCACATTTGCTGCGAGTATTTTGTTCAAAATTGAATACATTTCTGAACACAATAATTAATCGGCCGGGCGCCGTAGTGAAAATCGGAGCAAATGTGACCAAGACATAAAACAATTGAATAATACTGTATCAGTTTCACATTTACAGCGGTCAAAAGCATTTACAAAAAAACCGCCAGAGTTGGCAATCATATAAAATGAAACCAATCCCGCTGTGATTCATAGAAATAACTAATTTACTGCATTGAGTTCAATGTTATAACCATGTCGATTTACATGAGTGTCCGATTCATTGTACCAAATTTAAACCTTGACTGTTCTCCAGAAAGCCATAAGCTGACATATATCATATTTTACATTTTAATACAACTGAAAAGATAATAAATGTTTTAATATAAAGTTGACG